CTCCAGTTGTGAGACAGTCAATTTTTTTTAACATGCAATATTAAAAAGCTGATTGGTTTATATAAAAACATTTCTTTTTATATGAGCCAACTATTTCGTGTACACCGAGGCGGATATATAAACTGTTTTTGTTAAATACCAACACTGTGTGTGATAATCGACTAAAAAGCGTTTTTTCAATAAATGCAAAGTACTTTTTTTGCAATTTAATTAATTGAAAAAGGTAAATGTAATGCATTTTCTTTTAGTGTTTTCCTTATATTTTGTGATGCAACATTGCATTGTTCCAATCTACGGTTGAAAATAATTTAATTTTCCTTTTTCAAAATAGCACCAATTTCTGGGTGTGAGACACAGCATATTACCAGTTGTGAGACGGTGTCAACACCCATCTGGGCAGCATAATAAATAAGAATTTGCAGGCATACTATTTAAATGTTGTTTTGATTCTTTTTTCTAGTATTTTTGGGCATGTCAAGTGGAAAAAAGTCAATTGATTCAGAAGAAATCAATTTTAATGCTCTTGTTGAAGCTATTAAATTGTGTTTATTTGATAGTCATATTTTGGCGAATAAATATTATTATTTAGTATATAATAATATATATTATTAATATATTTAATTATTTCTAAACATAACGTTTTATGTCAAACTTATTAAATTTTAGCAATTTTTAATGAGTGTCTCACAACTGGAGACATTTTTTTTTTTGAAAAAAGCGATGTGCTCGGAAAATGTATCGTAAAATTTTTTGAGATCATCGAAACACTATACTTTCTTTTAATAAAAGTTGCGTATTTCTGTTACCTTTCGAACGGTGTATTTTATTTACAATTTCGTTTGCCCGTTTACAATTTACGGGTCAAAAATGAAACCCGTCTCACAACTAGAGACTCTCCCCTATCTATTATTATTTATTATTATACTTACTTTTTAAAAATATTATTATGGAAAATTATTAAAACAATAAAAGGAAAATTCTTTATGAAAAAATTATTAAACAAATAAAATTTCTAAACAAAAAAGAGTAAATAATAAAAAATTATGAAATGTATAATTTTTTTAGAAATAAACTATAGTTGATAAATAATAAAAAAAAAATTATCCATTAAAATTTATTTTTTCTGAATCTGTCAATATTATTCCCAGTGTATTAATTTTCAAATTGTCTATAAAAAAAGTTAATCTTGGTATTTGAAATAATTTTGTTTAAAAAAATTTGTATAACTAATATAATTTAAAAAATTATACATTTCATAATTTTTTATTATTTACTTTTTTTTGTTTAGTAATTTTATTTGTTTAATAATTTTTTCATAAAAAACTTCCCTTTATTGTTTTAATAATTTTCCATAATAATATTTTTAAAAAGTAAGTATAATAATAAATAATAATAGATATAATAACAATAATAAATAAATAAACAAATAATAAATATAATAGTAAACAATAAGAGTAATTGACATTTAATATTTTTGTTCCTCACGTTCATTCCTACTGTACCACGCAAACGGAGCAACCTGTTATGGTCGGCCATGTCCAACTTCTCATATAGAGCTATCAGTTTGATATGTTTCGTAAAACGCGGATTGATATTTACGCCCATAGAAACATCTAATCGTCATAAGAAAACTTGTTTTATATTCTCTATTAAATATTATTTTTCCCTAAATCGCCCTTTTTTTCATTTTCTGTCTGAATTTTTAAAAATTAATTATCAAAGTAAAAAATTACACCAAAAGAGGGGAAGTTTTCGACTTTGATAATTAATTTTGAAAAATTCAGACAGAAAATGAAAAAAAGGGCGATTTAAGGAAAAATAATATTTAATAGAGAATATAATTCAAACTTACTTATGACGATTAGATGTTTCTAGGAGCGTAAATATGAATCCGCGTTTTACAAAACAAAGCAACAGCTCGATGTAGGCCTTTGCCGACCATAACAGGTTGCACCATTTTCGTGTTGAAAGTATTTACGCTATGGTAATGTAGGGACGTAGATGATCAACAAAAATAATAAGTCATTACTTTTATTATTTAATATTATATAAATAATTATATTTATTTGTTTATTTATCTATTATTATTTATTATTATTCTTACTTTTTAGAAATATTATAATGGAAAAGTATAAAACAAAGTAATGTAAATTTTTTATGAAAATATTATTAAACATAATTTTTGTCATAAAATTGGATCTTTTTTATGAAAAAATTCCTTTTTCTGAAACACGGAGGTACTCAGAATTTATTTCCAATTATGAAAACCATTTTTGTCTTGAGAAAACGACGTTGATGTTTGCAATTTTTTTCTAACAATTTTTGAAGTAGATTATTAAATTTTCGTCTTTTTTCAATACATTGCAGCTTTTTTTTTGTATTAAAAAGGGCATTTTTTGACATTTATTTTTCTAAATAATTTCATATCATAATTTTTATTGATGAAAAATAGAAATACAGAAAAATTAAGATTAAATTTTGATCAGAAACTAAATAAGTAAAAAAATAATTTTCCATATAGAAAAATTGAATAACAATGTTATTTTTAGAATTTTCAGTTAAAAAACAAAGATTTTTTTCAAAACAATACTTCTATAGGTAATTATGAAAATCATCGATTTCATTTGGAATTCTTTTCATAGATTTAAAAACATATTTTCTACCAAATTACGCGTGTGTTTCGAAATCCACCAATTTTTAAGAAAAATGATAATTGAAAAAGGGTCAAAATATTTTCTGTCCGCTTTTATTTTATGACCGTTGAATTCCTTATAAAAAATTACTTTAAAACTAATTTTGTGGAATATTTAAATTAGATTTTTCATATACTTAGAAATATCAATAATAAAAATAACAATAAAAAATTTTTAAAATTATACATTTCATAATTTTTTATTATTTACTTTTTTTTTGTTTAGAAATTTTATTTGTTTAATAATTTTTTCATAAAAAATTTTCCTTTATTGTTTTAATACTTTTCCATAATAATATTTTAAAAAAGTAAGTAAAATAATAAATAATAATAGATATAATGACAATAATAAATAAATAAACAAATAATAAATGTAATAGTAAACAATGAGAGTATAATTGACATTTAATATTTTTGTTCCTCACGTTCATTTCTACTGTACTACGCAAACGGTGCAACCTGATATAGTCGGCCATGGCTAACCTCCTATATTGAGCTGTCAGTTTGCTATGTTTTGGAAAACGCGGATTGATATTCACGCCCATAGAAACATCTAATCGTCATAAGAAAACTTGTTGAATATTCTCTATTAAATATTATTTTTCCCTAAATCGCCCTTTTTTCATTTTCAATCTGGATTTTTTTTAATTAATTATCAAAGTCAAAAAATTTCACCAAGAGAGGTGAAACGAGGGGAAAAGAGTGGAAGGTGAGGAAAAATCGCTCGCTACGCCTATGCGTACTTTTAAATATTTCCCACCGTGCAGCGTCCTTAATGAATAATTCATTTAATTATAATGCTTCACGTCATATGAAACTAAAAACAAAAAAGTATTAATGTAAATTATCAAACAGTTTTAGTAATTTCAATTTAGAGAGTAGAATTTTTAGCTGGAATGCTAGAAACATAGTAAATTTACATAAAAAAATAACATGATTTTTTTATTCATTACTGGATTTAAATTTGTTAAAATGTCACTTTTACAAAAATGTTATTACTATGTACCTTTTTGAAAATTATATCAGTTTTTATATATTTTCGTATTTAAAAATTCTCAAAATACTTTTTAGACACGATGTTGAAGTCTACAACGTTGATCAACAAAAAAAATGTTTAATGCATTCAAATATTATTTTTGATTTAAAATTTAATTTTATAATTATCATCAGAACATAAACATCATTCATTTATTTATTAATATTGTTGTAGCAATGTTGCTGCTTTATCTTTAGTTACTTTACTTAGTGAACTATTGTTTTCGTTGATAAGCGTTGTGGACTTCTACATGGTTTTCAGACACAGTGTATAAACCTTGGCCACCTTACCCACATCGTAAACCACGCCCCATAAAGCAATTTAGACACAGGGCGTATTTTTAAAATGGAGTATACGCATTCATAATAAAAATGTCATGTAATTGTACGAAATTTGTAATTTTCATTCAGTTGACATTATAAAAATTTGTTGCATTATTTTAAATTATTGCTGAAACGTATATTTTAGTATATTATACTTTCCATTACAATTTTTACTAATTTTTTTATACTTGTATTAAATTTAAAGTGCATTCTGCAAATTTTTACTCAATTTTTTAAATGATAATTAATGTCAAGGTCATAAACAGTAGTCACAAACAAGAATGCTGCGTAAGTTTTTTTTTATTTTTTATATTGATTAAATTTTTTCAGTACTACAATTGAATAGTTGCAAAAGGATTTCAAGTTTCAACATTATTCTCATATTATTTGCTTAATTAATAAGCATCACTTCAAGGTTATTCTTATTATTAGGATTGTCCCTTGGATGTTTTCCTTTTTGAATTCTTCTGCTTCCTTCTTGGTTTTTGTTCCTTCTTAAGTTCTCCAGCTCTCATTTCACATAAAATATTTTTCACTTCCACAAATTTGTTTCTGTAGGTATAATAGCATTTTCTTACATGTAATTTTATAGTTCTGTCACTGTAAGAAATCATGATGGTTTTACAAATATTGAACCAGACACAACCTTCTCTTCTGTAAGATTCTTTTAGAAGTCTGTTAATAAGAGACTCAGTATTTTCGTTGGGATTAGTGATGCAATATCGAAACAAAAATATCGATATCGATTAAATCGATATTGCTTATAGTGAATATCGATATGACCAATATATCGTACCAACAATATCGATTATTCGATTAATCGATGTAATTTCAAAACTTTCTACAAAACTATTATTTATAAAGGTTTAGTTAAAATTAAAAGTAATTAAATATGTGATACATAAAATTAAAGCAATATTTATGGTACAATAATTATTGTGAAATTTTTTATTTTAATCTTAAGAGAGAAATATTAAATTACAAAAATAGAATTACAAAATTTATTTATAACTCATCATATTCGCTTGCCGATCATCCTTCCGGGTCATATAACTTCAACTGAAAAAATTTGTTTTATTATCAGATTAAGGCAAATTTTTTATGTTTTCATGTCTATTATTTTTAATACTTACTCAAAATATGTACTGTCAATTGCAAGTGACTGCACTAGATCCGAAGCCACCTTTTTTCGAGATTTGCGAATTTTATTAGAACCATTAAACGCTTTAATTATTCTAGAACAGAAAACAATTTACATTATCTTAAGGTTCTTAATGTAAGATTTTCAATATGTTACAAAAATGAAATGTGTGTTTTTACTTTCTGTCCAAATATCTGTAGTTAGTGTTACGCACGTTACGTTTTTCAGAAGTATCTTATACTTTTGAGATACTGTGTCGTATTTTGAATCCAAGTGATTAATAAACGTTTGTCTAGAAGGTACTTTATAATTCGGAACTGCATATTTCATCATTTTTATAAATCCCTCTCTTTCTACCATTGAAAACGGTTCACTATCTTTACAGATCATAAATAAGATTTTATCTGTTAGATTTTTGTGTTTAGTGCCTCCTTCTTGAAATGATGAAATATTTTTAAATGAATATTTAATATTTTCCCTGCCTGATTGTTCGCTTGGCTCAGTAGTCGTCAAAGATTCGCTTGCACTAGAACTAACAGATTCATTGTTTTGAGCACTAGTTGATTTGTTAGTCGACGATGAATTTTCCTTATTTTCGTGTTTCCGTTTGAGGTTGGATTTTTTTTCATCAATTTCTATCATAAGAGCGTTATAGATCTCAACATGATTCGCCTTTAAATGGTTAAACATATTTGTAGTGTTTCCAGAACATTTCACTAGCGAATGAGGACCTGAGCAATATTTACATTGCATGAGGTTTTTCTTATCTGTAGGTAAAAAGTGCTTTCGCACAGGACTTGGACCACCGCTCATTTTATAAATGCATAGAATTTAGTGATCTGTAAATTAATTATTTAATTATTAATTATTTAAACTTGTAGCAATATATTTACTGAATTATTAACACTATAAATATAATCTTTCGAATGGAAATTTTTTTACATTGTATAGCTAACGAATTAATAACGCGAAATAAGAAATTATAACAATCACTAATAACACAACGTTTAATACAAATAATTTATAATAAATCTCTATAAAAATGAGGTTGAAATATAAAAATGATACGATTTTATTGTATTTTGTGGATCAAATGTATATATATTCACTTGGAGGTTATGTCACGTAAAATGTCAAAAAAAAGTTTTTTTCAAGTTTCACAATGCTTTTGGAATTTTCAGTTAAGATAAAATAAGGTAAATAGAACGAATTTTATTCTCTAATAATAATATTTTTTTGTATACTCGAGTTTATAAAAATTATCATTCGTGTTGTTTCTTGCGCTCAAAGTCAAAATTTTTAGTCGTACGTACCTTTTTAATTGTTCTTATCCTTCTATTTGCGTAGTGATCATTCAAAATATTATCAAATTAGTTCGATTTAATTAACTACACGACATCAATGCGTTAATTTTAAACGTTCAGTTGTTTGTAACTTGTAACTTGACTAAAACTTGACATACAAATACACAGAATACATGCATAGAATATAAATACAAATTACGGTCAGAAGCAGTGCTTCGATATACATTAACGTTAAGTTCACAATCTGCCACACAAAGCTTAAGGGTAGAATCACATGGCGGTGTAAACGTGTGTCGACAAACGATATGTAGTTCAATGTGCAAAACCTCAACGCAAAAAAACTTAGTCTTTGTCCATACTGAAAATATCGATATCGACAGACCAATATCGATATTTGAATCGATATATCGTTTGTAAGATATCGATATAAAATATCGAAATATTAATACCAAAATATCGATATTTCCGATATTTTGATATCGATATTGCATCACTAGTCCATACTGAAAATATCGATATCGACAGACCAATATCGATATTTGAATCGATATATCGTTTGTAAGATATCGATATAAAATATCGAAATATTAATACCAAAATATCGATATTTCCGATATTTCAATATCGATATTGCATCACTAAAAATTACAAGAAAAAAAAATAATAATAAAAAAAAAATTAAAAAAGAAAAAAGAAAATGAAATAAATTGTCCTTTAGTTGAAAGCCCCACTACCACGACAAGGTCTATTAAATATAATAAGAATTTCTATTTTCGTATTTATTGAAAACAAAATTTTTAATAAATACGAAAATAAAAATTGTTATTACATTTAATAGTGGACAATTATTAGTGGGGTTTTTCTTTTTTCTTCTTTTTTTTTTTATTTTTTATATTTTTTTTTCTTTTTATTTTTTTAAATTTTTTTTTACATTTTTTAAAATTTTTTTTATAATAATATAATGAATTAATATCCTATTAATGAAATAATAATATAAAATATATTATATAATAGGACTTTTTTTTCCCCCAAGGTGCTTAGAGACGCACCCAATTGTAATTGTCACAATTGTCGTGACGTCCTCTAATGCGGTCTGGAAACTGAGAATGGGTTAAACCCACTTTATAATTACAATTTGTACATCGCCATTTAAAACGATGAACATGTTGAAATCGCTTGTAGGGGATGACGGTTACAACTTTCACCTTTAAACCCGTACCCTCCAATTTCGCATTTAAAGTTTCCAAATACTCCATGTAGATTTTTCCATGTACAATGTAATTATCAACATTCGTTGCATAATGCTTATACACTTGTACATGGAGCATCTCATAGAGTAATGTTTCTTTAATGGAATTTACATTCCATTGGCCATGAACATTCAAATGAAGTTGAAGGCTAATGGTAATTCTCCGTTTGGAAATGTCCGTCATCCCACAACTCGCGCGCAAATTAGAATACGCGATCGTGAATCCGAGTACTTTCAAAGTTGAATCAAAATAAAGCCGATCAAACTCAAAATACAACTTGCCAACGTCAGGTTTATCCAAAGGATATTTGGATCTTTGGCGAACTTTATTTAAAATTGGGTTCACCAATGGAGGTGGTGACCCGCTCGAACGTAAAGTTCGCCTTGATGACATTTTAATTTTTTTTTCCTTTTTCATTTCTTGTGAAAATTTTTTTTTCTAAATTACAATAAATATTGTAAAAAGAATGAATTTAAAAAAAAAATTGTCACAAACAATAAAAACGAAAAAAAAATTGAAAATGATAATTACAAAAAAATATTAATTAATAATAATTGCAATAACGCTGAGATTGACAGTTTATGTATGTAAGTGTGTGTGTGTGTGTTTGTGTGTAAGTGTTAATTAAAGTTGCACTCAAAAAATAATTTTAAAAATGCAATGTGTTATAATGTGCTGTGATGTGTTGTAGTACAATGGTAAGAATGAAATGTTTCAAAACTGTGGTGTGTTGCTAATGCCGCCGTGTGATGCCAGTGAAATGGTTATAATGTGTTCTAACGTGCTGTGATGTGTTGTAGTACGATGGTACGAATGAAATGTTTTAAAAGTGTGGTGTGTTGCTAATACCGCAGTGTGATGCCAGTGAAATGGTTATAATATGTTCTAATATGCTGTGACGTGTGTAGTACAATGGTAAGAATGAAATGTTTTAAAAGTGTGGTGTGTTGCTAATACCGCCGTGTAATGCCAGTGAAATGGTGCGATTACAATGGTCTCTCGTTTTCTATTTTGTTAACCGTGACATATGTGGTGGTGGTGGTGATAATATAATTATATGATTATAATAAAATTATACGATGATGGTGATGATGATAAAGTTTTTAATTCAAAAAATTTTTAACAAAATTGAAAAATTAAAATTAAGATATTTTCAATAATTATAAATGGATTTTGACGTTATTATATTTAAACGATAGGTAATTGTCCACTCAATAAAGTTTTCACGGGTCAATTCCATACAAAAATGACATCTTCATCATAAAAATTAGCCTTAAAGTTTTTAATTTGAAAATTAAATTTAAAAATTGAAATATTTTCAATAATTATAAATGGATTTTGACGTTATTATATTTAAACGATAGCTAATTGTCCACTCAATAAAGTTTTCACGGGTCAATTCCATACAAAAATGACATCTTCATCATTAAAATTGGCCTTAAAGTTTTTAATTCAAAAATTAAATTTAAAAATTGAAATATTTGCAATAATTATAAATGGATTTTGACGTTATTATATTTAAACGATAGGTAATTGTCCACTCAATAAAGTTTTCACGGGTCAATTCCATACAAAAATGACATCTTCATCATAAAAATTAGCCTTAAAGTTTTTAATTTGAAAATTAAATTTAAAAAATTGGACAAGTGCGAGTTGTACTCGCACTGCAATGGCGGGTTCCGCACACAAATATTAAAACAATACTTGCAACATTGATCGGTAATTGGTAGAATTAAAATAAACAATTATAAAAATATATTAAAATAAAAAAAAATATATTATTAAAATCATTTGATAAAAAAATAACTAAAAAAATTAAAGTATTGTATATATCTAATATTGTAAACAATAATAAGCAGAGGAACAAAATTTTCAAAATTTATTATAGTTCCTCTGCTTATTATTGTTTAAAATATTAGATATACAATACTTTAATTTTTTTTAGTTATTTTTTTTTATCAAATGATTTTAATATATTTTTATAATTGTTTATTTTAATTCTACCAATTACCGATCAATGTTGCAAGTATTGTTTTAATATTTGTGTGCGGAACCCGCCATTGCAGTGCGAGTACAACTCGCACTTGTCCAATTTTTTATTATTTTTAGTTAAGAAATTAAAGTCAGAAAACAATCTCTCATTTATTCTCTTTAAATTTCACTCTCTTCCTTAAAATATTTAATGCCACGTGTTTAAACTAAAAAAAATTAAAACAAATTTTTTTTTTTGAAAAAAAAAATTTAAAAAAAATTTTTTTTGATTTTTTTTTAAAAAGTTTCTTAAATAAATTTTTTGTCGTCAGACTGTAATAATACACTAGGATACCAATTTTCAGCTCATTAGGTAAAATAATGTAAAAGTTAGGAAAAAAAATTTTTTTTTAAAAAATTTTTTAGTTTTTCCTTGACAACGCTATGGCCATCATTACATATCAAGTTCTCTATATTTTTCCTGTAATATTCGAGTAAAAATACACCAGCATGCAAAATTTCAGCTCTCCATGTCGAATAGATTAGAAGTTAAGGGGGGGGGAATGGTCACTTTTTATGCATTTTTGGCCAAAAATCTTGTTATTTCCTTGACAACGCTATGCCCATCACGTCCAATCACATTCGCTATATTTTTCCTGTAATCTACGAGTGAAAATACATATCTGGACGAAATTTGAGCTCTTTAGGTCAAATAGTTTAGCCGCTAGGGGGGGGGACACGATTTGGCTACGGACAACAGAGTCTCACCAATAGGGTTCCGCCGATACACCGTAGGTGTACGGAACCCTAAAAATTGAAATATTTGCAATAATTATAAATATAATAATATAATTAAATAAATAAATAATATTATTATAATTAAATAATAATATTATAATATTATTTATAAAAATAATATATTTAATATAATTTAATAATAATTAAATTAATTATTAATTATATAATTAATATATAATTATTATATAATAATAATATATATTAATATAAATAATAATATTATTATAATCATAATAACTATTAATAACAAATAATAATTATTATAATATATATTATATAATAATATTAATATATTAATAATTTATTTAATTTAAAATAAATTAATAAATAATAATTATTATTAATTTATTTATTATTATTAATAATAAATAGATTTATTTAATTTTTATTTAATTTATTTATTTATTAATAATTTTTATAATATTAATATATAATATATTATATATTAAATATTTATTATTATACAGTATTAATAATAATTTAATATATATATTATATTATATTAATAAGTATAATAACTATTACTTACGTTATTATAATAATAATTTAATAAATAATAATAATTATATTATAAATATTATAAAATAATATATATAATATAATTATTATATAATTATATTATATTTAATACAATAATAAATATTTTAATTAATATTTAATTATAATAATTATAATTTATAATTATTATAATTATTATATTAATTATTTATATAATATTAAATTTTTGATTAATTTTTAATTATATTTTATCGGGAAATAAAATTTAAAAAAATAACTGCCTGTTTCCCCCTTAAGAAATCTGGGGGTTTAGGTTTGGTCAATCTAACTTCATAGTTTCAATTGGTGCAGAGCCATCTATATTTATGTATTTCGTTGAACAAGGCAGTCTCAATGGCTTGTACGACAGTCACTTTCAAGCGCATCTTCTTTTTTTTAATTTTAAATTAATGTCATACAAATATTGCATGAAATGATCCCCATGTTGATGGTAATTGTCCACATTTGATGGATGTGTGGCATATACCAAAATGTGGATCATTTCATGCAATAAAGTTTCCTTGATCCTCCTCACATTCCATTTTTTCTTCTCTTCTATATAGTGGTGCTTGAGGCTTATTGACACTCTGTGGGTTCTCGTGTCCGTAACACCGCTCCATTTTCTGAGATCGGTGTACGCAAACGTGAAACCCACAGGTCTCAATTTGGAATCAAACAACATCACATCAAACTTGCAAAACAACTTGAATAAATCAGGTCTACCAGCTTCAGGATATGTCTTCTGATCCCTAGGTTTATTCAAGATTGGATTTTTTAATGGCTCTGGTGGCCCACTAGAACGTGTTTGACGTTGTTCACTCATGATGACCAACTCACAACAATCAGAGAAGAAAATTGTTATCCAGTGAGGTAAGAGACAAGACAAAAGGCTCAAGAAGAAAATGCAAAAGAAGAAATTCTCTTGTTAAAAAAAGCGATAGCACCAGTTTATAAATGAGCTATTACTGTAGCCACTAAGAATATACGTAGAGTGTGACACTTTACGTTTTTAGTAATCCCGAGGAAAATTGAGGTTAGGCATCGTCTGCTGTCAACAACACGTAAAACATGCGCAGTGATATCTCTTTATATTTGCTAGTTATCAAATATTTATGTTAGGTTGGTAACAGTGCTATAGTAGCATGGAAGGTGGGAGGAACTATGCGAGA